GCCTGCCTCTGCCTCCCGAGTGCTGGGATTAAAGGCGTGCGCCACCACCGCCCGGCTTAGAAAAATATTTTTATTGCACTAATTGATTTTTTTTAAAAGGAAGACTACAGGCTAAAATTTATTAACCATTAGCTATGGTATTAGATGCTTTTTACAATGTTCTTTCTTAATTTTAATTACTCCTGGAAGATAGTATCCTCTTTAATACATGAGGAAATTGAACCACAAATAGATTAAGGGATATTCCTCTAGGTAATGCATCTAGTTACAGGCACACGTTCTTTATTCAAATTCATGCTGGTGGCCTTGAAAGCCTTCTCCCCCATTATGTACTTTGCTCCCCGGTATAGCAAATGTGGGGTCACCCTGATGGCTGTTTGCATCGAGAGAAACCCCATACTGTGTGGTGTGACAAAGGCAGCTTCTTCGGCTGGAGGATGGAGGCCCTGGCATTAGATCTGGCTCTGCCACTTAGTAGTCATAGACTACCTATCACCAACTGTAAAACAGAGTTCATCATAGCTTTTCTCAAGATTGTGATGGTGAAGGAATGAGATGAGAATAGCTAAGGAAATTAGTGCCTATAATATTCTGTGTTTAATGCTGAGCTTTCCTTTCTCTTTGCTGTTGGTTATTCAGCTACAACTAGAAAACTTGCTGAATCAGATAAAAGAGAACTTTCCCTGTCATTTAGGAATGATGGACCATGGCACAGGCAAACTGGTGAGGAGATTTTTTTTTTTCAGTACACCCCAATCTACATCAAAACCGAACACTTAGTTCTGAAAGTTTGACATTAATTTATACTTTAGAATACATTGTTAGGAAATGGGGTAAAAAGCTCCCTTCAAATGTCTGCTGACTCTGGCCACTCAACAGGTTAATCAAATCTTATACTGTGTTTAGCTATCAAGTGTGACTCAGCTATTCACAAAGGCAATTCAGGAACACACAGCAATTTCCTTTCAGCTATAGAAGAGCCAAAGGAATGCCACTGGCATGTGAACTGGAGTAGAAGTCCGGAAACACTGAATGGGACTTTGAATGAATTTTTACTCCATGGAACTGAGTCACTGTCACCTCTGTCTGTACTCAGACATTATGAGATCATTACTACAACAGCTCCACATCAGAGTTGGTGTACTTGTGGATCACTGTGGAATCATTGGACGGGTCCTCCTCTCAGACATTATGAGATCATTACTACAACAGCTCAGCATTGGAGTTGGTGTACTTGTGGATCACTGTGGAATCCTCAGACGGGTCCTCCTCTCAGGCATTATGAGATCATTACAATGGCAGCGTTGACACACTGGAGGATCACTGTGGAATCCTCTGATGGGTCCTCCTCTCAGAGATGTTAAGCCACGGGATACTTGGGTAATGTCCAGGTCTCAGCTTTCCAAAGGTCCTGCAGTGATTCTGATCAGAGGCTCTGCCCATGACACTTTAGGGAAGACCCATTATCTGGCACAAGCTCAGTGTGTGACACATGCAGTCATATTGTCCCTGACTAATGTCTTTTCAGTATTCTTTTTTTCTTCCTCCTTTAATTATTTTTTTAAGGTAGGATCTCACTGTGTCTCCCTAGCTTATTTGAAACTCACTATATAAACCAGGCAAGCCTCAACTTGTACAGATCTGCTTATATTTGTCTTCAGAGAGCTGGGATTCAGGAGTGTGCCACCACTCAAAGCTTGAATTTCTGTTCCTACTGCTTCATCATATGCATAAAAGAGTGCTTACTATATCCTAGTGGATAAACAATGACAGGCAGTTCTGCATGTGAGATTATTACTAATTCAATAAAGGGCCAGCATCACTTATATCTTATATTGATCTTTCGCAGAAAACATTGGCTAAATATTTGTCTCTTATT